CTGGACCTCGGTGTCTGAAGCAGGTGGTCTTACCACTAGACCACAGAGGCGGTTAAATGAGAATGGCGAACCCATAGGGGTTAGCGTACCCCACTTTAAGAAACCCTGCACTATAAGGCCCAGAACAGACGGTGAAATGCAACTGCAACGAAACTGCAACTGCTAGTTACTTTTCAGTTGCATCTAAGTTTCTGCCATAGCGTCCGTTGAGAGACCACACATGACGCGACCAGTTTGAAACTTTCAGTTTCAGTTTCATTCATCAGAATTATCAGAAAGTTGCAGTTTCGTTGCAGTTGCGTTTCACCGTCTGTTCTGGGCCTAAGAATCTACCGTGTTACCTACCTGCTTGCCAATAATCTCACACAATCACACAAGCCTGTCAATAGTGTGCATCTCTGCCTCTTGAATGAAATTCTATTAAGATCGCCTTGATGCCAAACTGTCGTGTACATTTCCGCATCCATTTCTGAAGCAAAACTGACGGCATACCAAGCTCAACACTGTGTCTTATACTGTTGAAATAGATGCTATTATTCAACAAAAAAGGTGTACTTTGATGTGCTATCACTGTACAAGCAAAACTAGTTTGAAAAGAAACCAATCCACTGCTGATATGGTCTAGAACCGCTTACCGACTTTGCAAGTAGAGAACGTGGTTTTGTTTGTATGTCGATGTCTATATTGTCTATCTATCCATCTCTTTCACACTCATGAAATCAGTAACCTAGATGAGGAAGACGGTTCTAGATACTTCAATCTAGTTTGCTAGACTGATTTTGTAACAATAGGAATTGTGTGCCGATAGGGCAGCAAGGTTCTGGAGTGGAGACGGCGTACCGGAAAACGCAGCGTGGGACGTCCACTCACAAGGTGGACCGACGACATCGTAAAGGTAGCAGGAAGGCGCTGGACGCAGGCCGCTACCAACCGGGCAACATGGAAAGCATTCGGGGAGGCCTATGTTCAGCGGTGGACGTCCCATGGCTGAGATGATGATGATGATGATGAAGATTTCACTTTCAAACAAAGCTTTAGACTAAAAGCTTTTAATTTTGTCTTTAAAATATTTACGAATTTGTAGCACTACTATAATGGTTTCTTTTATGTGTTTTGCGGAGTTTTTAGCTGACACTGTAATACATAGGTTTGTTGTCGATACGACAAGAAGAAGAATGGTTTCTTACAAATAAAGTTATTGAGTTTGTTTTACTTAGAATAAAAATGTGTTACATTGATTAGAACTTCCATTAGACCTTCCATCCTTCTCATTTATTTTTTTATAAAGGTAGCAGGATGGCGCTGGATGCAGGCCGCTACCTGTTTATGTAAGGTGTCAATCAAACACGAGATCCAGATCAAGACTTATTTATTGAGACCAAAAGTCTACCCCCAACCAAATAATGTGGAAATCATTGGGGGAGGCATATGTTCAGCAGTGGACGTCCTGTAGCTGAAATGATGATGATGATTTCTTTTTTATCCTTCAAATTCAAACCGTAAACAAAACATATGTAAGACGGACATCACGTCAAGTTATGCACTGTAGTATCATAATTGTTATTTAAAAAAAGGACCGTCAGCGTCAAATACATAGTTCGTGATCGTGACACTCATAGTAGCTAATAAGTTCGCAATACGTCTTTGTTACAATTGGAAAAAGGTTTTGCTGTCAACTTTTTGGCCACTTTGGGTGTCACGAACTATTAAAATAAAATTCATAAAATTCATTTATTTTTGCAAATAGGCTTTAAAAAAGCGCTTTTACACGTCCCAATATTAACCCTACCACTGCTTCGGGACAATAAATGGGCCAGTGCTGAGAAGAAGCAGCGCAAGAAACTCAGTCACTATTGTCAGCCTGGATATTTGACACTGACTCTAGTCTAAAGCAGGGTACTCATCTAGCCGTGTAGCATGTAATGTATCAGATACTGTATCAAGTGAGTACATAGGCACGAGCCCGCTGCGAGCTGCTCGCGCGTGGTTCGCAGGGAGATCGCAGCGACCCGCCGAGTGGTGGTATCACTGAGCACAAAGGCGGCTCGCAGTAGGATCCAGGAGCTCGCAGCTAGATACGCGATGACCGTGGACGAACCGTACTCACTTGAAGGTTGGTTACGTTACATGCTACGTTACGTGCTACATGGCAGGTGAGTACCCTGCCTAATGTGCTTTGGACTGTACAAATTAATAAAACAATAAAATATATTAAAAACCAATTTATTCCCCCATGTAATTACCCCAACCAACAAAAAGAATTTTATTGTAATTCAAAAAACCAATCTCCCCTCCTTTGAAAATTTTATAATAATTCAAAAAATCAGCGCCTAATCCCCCTTTTTAGTAAGGGCAAGGACAAATGGGGCACGGTGGAGGGCAGGGGCAAATGGGACAAGGTGGGGGGCACGGTTCAGGGCAGGGGCAGGGGCACGGACAGGGAGGAGGAGGGCAGGGGTTATAGGGGCACGGAAAAGGTGGAGGAGGAGGACAGGGGTTATAGGGGCACGGACAAGGTGGCGGGCATGGCGAGGGGCACGGACAAGGTATAGTGCAAGGTGTGCAAATGGTGGCGGGACCCGCGCATGGTGGAAGCAGACGGCCGATACAGATCGATGGTGGCTGGATGACAGGACGGCCTATTTCGCCGAAGCAGACCCTGGATCCATCGCAGAGGCTGCTACAGCGCCAAGGAGCGGCAGCTGCGTAGCTGATCAGAGCTGAAAGTTGTGGAAAAATTGGAGGTAACAAAAAATTACGGATCATAATGAAAGCAGGATGAAAATTGGCGGTATTTTGCGCTCTTTACAGCACTTGTACCCCCTTATTAATAAAAGTTATGCCCTAGTTGAACTCTGGCTTAAATTGTCATTTAGTATGGAAATGTCATTTTAATCCAGGGTTCATCCTAGGTGTAACTTTTTATTTTTTAAGGGGGTAGAGTGTTTGCTTAGAAGCACCAGGACAAAAAAAGATTATGAGACCTGTATCTGATGATTTTGGACTTAAAAGTGTAAAAAAACTACTCTGTTTATTGGGATGGATTCATATAAAAACTACTGGACGAATTTTGATATAGGTAACTTTTTTTAAAGAATATTTAAGATGCCTGTGGCTTAATATCAGATAGAAATAGGTAGCACTTATAATGCTACAATAAGTTAGGACTCTTTATTTAAAAAAAACTATTGAAAATAAATGAAAAGTAATATTTACCCAGAACGATCAAAGCCTTCAAACCCACCATATTGTCTGTCGTACACACAAGTCTACTTCGCCGCTTATATACGGAAAAATAAATAACAAAACGTATTTATATACGGTCCATTTGTTTGGAGAAATAACATTTGAAAAACATGGAATGAGATACAGAAAAAATGATTCATTTCTTTCACGTTTTCAGTTTTTAAAATATTAACAACTACTGTGCCCGAGACTTCGTACGCGTGAAAATAGTTTGAATAAGATTTCCCGTTTTTGTAACATTTTTCTTTACTGCTCCGCCCCTATTGGCTGTAGGGTGGTGTTATGTAGCCTAAAGCCTTGCTCGAAGAATGAGCTATTGAACACAAAAATAATTTTTCAAATCGGACCAGTACTTCCTGAGATCTCCTCAGTAACTATAATACCTACGAACTTGAAATTTGGCAGGTGTAGAGACTTCCGCTAAGAACGGATTTTACGAAACTCCTCCCCTAAGGGTGTAAAACAGGGTCCATGCGTATGAACTACGAAGTTGTGGGTGGTCGCTAGTATAACATAGTGATACATTTCTTAAAGAAGTTTTCATACATACAAATGTTTGTATCATACGGGTTTCGACTCCAAAACTCCAGTACGTAAACCAACAAACCGTGCTTTCATAATAACCATTTTTCTTGTATTTTCCGCACCCGAATAAAGAAAACTATATCGTTACATAAAATATATCATTCCTCAAACATTCAATCAGTTGTGTACCGTTTTATCCCCTAGTGATTGGTACAGGTCAGGGTTTCTCAAAGAGTTCTCCATTCGAGGGCAGGGGGTTCGCGACAGGATTTATATAAAAGCGAAAAGTCACTGACTGACTCACTCATCACGAAATCCCAGAAACTGCAAGTGCTAGGTACTCAAATTTTGAATGGGGGTTCCTTTTAGAACGTAGGTGCTCACTAAGAACGGATTTTACGAAACTACATCCCTAAAAGGTTAAAACGGGATCCATGCCCACGCGTATGAAATCGCGGGCGGCCGTTACTTACAAAATTGACTCCATTTGCGACAAAAAACCAAGCATACTCATCACATTAATATTTCTTAATTGAAATTAAAGTCTTATTTTCTTCAATAGTCAATTTTATTATTTTCTTTAGGGGAGGGGCTAATCAGCTAATAAGGGGTTCGCTGTCCCCTGGAAACTTAACAGGGGTTCGTGGAGCCGAAAGTTTGAGAAACGCTGGCACGGGATAAAGAAGAACATCTGTTTCGCAAATTGATGGATTGGGTGCTATTTTTTTGTAATTTCACTAGTATTTGTAAGTAAAACGAAAATAAATGGATTATAGTGATTCTGCGGGCTATGTCAGTCACTATTTGGTTCTCCTGCGGATCTCTTCATTTCTGATTCGTTCACGCAGGAAAACTCCGAGCATAGCACGCTCCATCGCCCTTTGGGTGACCTTGAGCCTTCTTATGAAGCCCATAGTAAGAGACCACGTCTATCTATAAAATAAAAATGCTCGTGCTCATCACAAAATAAGACTTGCCCTCACCGGGATTCGATCCCCCGATTGCAACTGCTGTTCTAAGTTACTCGAACTACCATTCCATAAAATGCTAAATGTTTTTCATTGTTTTAAAAAACTCTAGTGTTTTTCATTTGTATAGATACGCTAAATGATTGCCACTCAAACGAATATTGTTTAGAACTTTTTTTAAACAATATTTCAAAGGTTTTTTGAAATATTTTTGTATAAATACAAGAGACTGGTAGTTTTAATTCACACACGGTTGTCAACATGGGGAGACAGACGGCGTTGGGTGTATTAGGTGATTATTCATCATCGTCATCATCATCATCATCACCATAACCCAGCTCTATGTAGTTCTAAAGCTTGTTACAATATTTTACAAAAATATTAAACTCTACCAATTTTCTTAATTTAAATCAAGATTTTTTAAGGGCTTTGTGCCAATAGCGGTTCAAACGGGACCCCATAACAGGCTCTATGTTATTTAATGTGCCTGTGAGGGCACATAGTAGAATACGTCCACCCTTAAGTTTGCTATGTACTTATGACTTATAAAAAAAAAGCACACTGAAAACCAGCGTCGTGGCCTCCCTCACCGGGGGCCACGGCATATGCTAAGTGGGGTCCCAATGCGATGGGCATCGCTGTGCGACAGGGTTGCACTGCTCAGTTTACTTTCTCTTCCATTGTATGTTTTATGTCACCTATGTCTTATTTGCTTTTTTTTTATTTACCTCTTTTGTCTTTTGTGATGTCCATGGCAATAAATGTTTCTTTTTTTCTTTCAAATCGAAAAGGGATTAACACCGTATCGCCATCCGCGAACTGTCATCGCCTTTCGCGCGCTGTCAACCGCGAGGCGGGGCGTTTACGTTACGGTGCGGATGTGTACGTTGTAGTAATGGAGTATACTGACCGCCTCGAGTTGATTGATACGGTTACGATCCCTTTCCGGGTTGATAAGACTAAGTGTGCTTACGTCCTTAAAGGAATTTTAACTTTGACTTTGATATTCTTTTATTCCAGCTCTAATAGCATCGACGTTGGGTGCGCCTGCGCCTATCTGCCCGTGCCTGAACCCTTGCCCCTGTGCATGCCCCCCACCATGCCCCCCGCCATGCCCCCTACCCTGTCCCTGTCCGTGTCCCCCGCCACCTTGTCCGTGTCCCCCGTCGCCGTGTCCGTGCGATCTGGGATCCGTGACAGCGAGTAAGTATTTTTTATCATCATCATCATGTTCTTCCAAAGCAAGCAAAGAATGACCTTTGTTTGTCACCTGTCATCCGCTTTGCAATGGAGGGAAGTCGAACCTTAATTTTGAACTCCTATGTTCTTCCGATTAATTTCATTGCGGGTCCAATGAGTTTAACTTTCCCCCGGGACAAACTTGACCTTCATTGGTTGGGTTTTTATGGCGGTCAAGCTGTAGACCCTGGCTACACAGGAGTTGCAGCGGTGGGAACGAGAGGAATAGTCCCGTTTAAGCAAAGAATGATTGGATTTTAGAAAAGATATAAAAAACCCCAAGGATTGCAATTAATGGAGGACAAGCACTTGTGTAGAGCTCGTAAATATCGATAGCATTACGATATTCTATTCTCTATGGAATATACTACTACTAGGCCAATGTTCAGCAGAGACGTCCTATGGCTGAAATTATGATTATAAATTTGGCATCCGGCGCACTAGGAGCCAATCCGGTATATGATGAACACTCTTGGCTGTTTTCTAAGAAGAATTGGCCCAATTCACTAGACTTAAAGCTGTATTCGTTCGTTCGTTTCAGCCAAATGACGTCCACTGCTGGACAAAGGCCTCCTCCAAAGCTCTCCATAATGAACGGTCCTGCGCTGCCCGTATCCAGGTTCCTCTCGCGACCTATACCAGATCGTCGGTCCAATAGGAGGCCTGCCCACGCTACGTCTTGGTGTATTATGTTACTTTATTTCAGTTGCAGCTTCTAAACCAAATTTTTCACTATTTCAGCTCCATGCGGTGACGGTCCAATCAGAGTTCTTCTGCAGCGGTCTTCAATCCCGCAGCGACTAATCTCTTCAGGGTTCCGCCAGGTGCCAGTGCCGGGAGGCATCTTCTACATCGCCCCCTCCCCTGACGTAATCATCCAGCCTCCCCCCATCCTGGTCAAGCCCAGACCTTTGGCCCCGATCACGCCACCATCAATCGTTGTGCAACCACCTCCGGTACCTCCTGTAACCCCTCGACCGATCATCGTAAGACCAGCTCCTATTCCCCCCATCACGCCTCCTGGTATAACTGTCAGACCGGCTCCATTACCTCCGATCCAACCACCGTGTATCACAGTAAGACCACCAAGACCAGCTCCGATCCAACCGGCTCCAATAACCATCACACCCCCAGCGTTACCCTCCATTACGCCCCCTCAGATTGTGGTCAGACCCCCTAGCCCTGCTTCCATTCAACCCCCGACTTTAACTGTTACTACTGACTCCTTCATCAGAGGAGGTGGTGGAAACGGCGGAGGCAGCGGTGGTGGTGGTGGTTCCAACTGGGGTGGTGGTTCAAACTGGGGTGGTGGTTCAAACTGGGGTGGTGGTTCAAACTGGGGCGGTAACTGGGGATCGGGTAGTTGGGGACAGAATTGGGGCGTGAACCCTTGTGATCCTTGCAACCCCTGTCCATGCCCATCACCGTGCCCTGAGCCCTGTCCTTGCCCCGAGCCTTGCCCTTGCGACCCCTGTAACCCCTGCAACCCCTGTAACCCCTGTAACCCCTGCAACCCCTGTCCCGAGCCTTGCCCCGAACCTGAACCCTGTCCATGCCCTTGCCCCTGCCCTTGTGCAGGGTAAAAACCTGCATCTCTAAACTAAAACACAAAATCTTTTAAACTTCAAGAATTTAGTCACATTTGTTTAGTCTTTAATGGGTTTAACTTCCCCCCGGGACAAACTTGACCTTCAATAGTTGGATTGAGCGGTCAAGCTGTAGATCCTGGCTACACAGGAGTTGCAGCAGTGGGAAGGAGAAGTGGGAATAGTCCCGTGACACGTTCTTGTTTCTTCTGACCACTGCATGATTACATATGGACAAGTTTGAGCCTTAAATGAAAACTTCTGGAAGACATCATCCCTTGTAAAAAAGCATTAATGGTAAATTGTATGTCTTCTTCTCAATTTTGCCACTGATTAATCAGTAATTGTTAGATAATCTTCCTGAAAAGTTGAGAATAGCTATTGAAACAATTTAGTGACTGTTTGGTTAGTTTTTGGAGCTGAAAATGAGATATTTCAGATCTGAGTGCAGTTTTTACAGAGCTTTTTCAGATGAGCGTTTTTAGCGCGATTTACGCTCGTGGCATACGAACTTACGCTACATTTCACGCTTTAATAAGCCAAATGCGCGTGCTCGTACGAGCGTTAAAAAACGCTTGTTTGGGAGCTGAAAATTAGCTCTAAAATCAATAAGTACTAATATTTTAGAAAATAGAGTTGGTAATTCTTGAAGTTTAAAAGGTTTTTAACTGTATTTTAGTGATTTCAAACTACTATTTAAATCAAAAGATCTCCTTATGTACTACTGACGACTAAGGCTTGTATACGGACTGAATATATAAATATTGTAAATAAAAACCCCGTAACTTATTTTTAATCTGTGTGAGTGTTTGCAAACGTAGCTTAGTATTTATGTATTATATTATATTAAATAAATATATTGTTGAATCATGTGAATTTCTTTGGTTTTATTTATATTACCAGAGGGCGTAGTGTGAGTTTACATCAAATGCGCTCACTAGTGAGCGCGTCAAAAAATTACATTAAATGTATGACGGGTTGTACAGCGCTCCTAGCGGGAAACGTACAAAAATAAAACTTTCATACATTTTTTAAACGCGCTCACTAAACTCACACTCAGCCCACAGTTCCAAGTAAAAAAAGCAAGTTTCATCAAAATTCATTTAGTAGTTTTTCCTTCAAAAATGACATGTATTTTTTTACACTTAACGTAGCATATTTATCAACCCAGAAAGGAGGCCTCGCCTCGCGGTTGACAGCGCGCGAATGGCGATGACAGATCGCGAAAGGCGATACGGTGTTGATCCCTTTCCGAATTGATAAAGTCTGCTATGAGCTTTAATAGGCCTTTATGTAGCCCAATATATATATATATATATACAGTGTGTCCGGGCATGTAGTGATCAAACTTTAAGGGCGTAATCTATGGACAATTTTATCGGTAAAAATACTTTAAATTTGGGGCTTGACCCATTTCTCGCATATTTACAAGGATTTAAGTTTTTAATTTTAAGTTTTCACCTCTTCCTTCAATAACAAGTGATAGCGTGGGTAGTTTAACATTAATAAGCAAAAATTTTATATCATGCGATAGCCAATAAAATTATCTATTAGTAGAAGTAGAAAACAGACACAAGTTTCATACATTTTAAGGGTGTAAGAATGGATTTAATTAGAAATAAACACGATTTTTTTCACATCTTTTTCAGTTATTTCCCAACACAAGAAAAACCAGGTCGTTAAGGTATGTTTTATTTGCATTGTATTATTAGTATTTGAGCTATTCTACAAAACGAATGTAAATTTATTAGTCTACGTCTATTAGTTTCGACGTAATTGTTGAACAAAGATACCCCTTCCCAGCGGTTTCCATAGCGCACGCGACATGCGAAAATGCACTGCCTGAAAGAATCACACAACCTATTCCGATTACTATGGAAACCGCTGGGAATGGGTATCTCTGTTCAACAATTACGTCGAAACTAATAGACGTAGACTAATAAATTTACATTCGTTTTGTAGAATAGCTCAAATACTAATAATACAATGCAAATAAAACATACCTTAACGACCTGGTTTTTCTTGTGTAGGGAAATAACTGAAAAAGGTGTGAAAAAAATCATGTTTATTTCTAATTAAATCCATTCTTACTCCCTTAAAATGTATGAAACTTGTGTCTGTTTTCTACTTCTACTAATAGATAATTTTATTGGCTATCGCATGATATAAAATTTTTGCTTATTATGTTAAACTACCCACGCTATCACTTGTTTTTGAAGGAAGAGGTGAAAACTTAAAATTAAAAACTTAAATCCTTGTAAATATGCGAGAAATGGGTCAAGCCCCAAATTTAAAGTATTTTCACCGATAAAATTGTCCATAGATTACGCCCTTAAAGTTTGATCACTACATGCCCGGACACACTGTATATACTCCCAAGCCGCTTTCGGCTACGGTAACTGCGACAAAATTCCTTTAGTCCGCAATAAGAGGGCTACGCTGGGCTGCCCTATCATGTGCCCTCACATGGCTACAATAGCCAACTTCGACGGGCAAATGTCTGCGGCATTGAGGCGTACCTGATGCGTCGGCAGCTTCGTTGGTGCGGTCACGTCTGGCGTATGGCTGACGAGAGGGTCGCGAAACGAATTTTCTTTTCTGAACTCCAGGACGGCAAGCGGAAACAAGGCGGCCAGTTCTTACGTTATAAGGATGTTCAGAAAAGACATATGAAGCGTTGTGACATTGACCCCCTAAAGTGGGAAAAAACTGCTAGCCACCGTCTGGAGTGGAGGCGCCTGGTGCGGAAAAAAGTTAACGACTTCGAAGAGCAGCGGAAATCTGATCTTGACTCAAAGCGCGATGCTCTTAAAGCCAGACCAGCAGCGGCTATCACCTACAACTACATCAGCGGTGTCCTAACGTGTCGACATTGTTCGCGCACGTTTACCAACAAGATTGTAGCCCAATACTTAGTTCTCAAAATAAATGAGATATTCTTGGAGTGTCAATTCGTGCCATCTAGTCCCAAACTAAGTAAAACTTTTACTATGGGTACTAGACAACGTATTATAAACACACTTATTGCCTGTACTTTTTACAGTCTGTATTTAATTACTTTTCAAAGTCTACACTTAGTTCTTCTTACGCCCGTATTCACAAACATTACTATGAGATCTCACAGTGCGCGTGGACGCACAGGGTGACACACGAACCAATCATAGAGTTCTATTCAACGCTGTGCGTTAGATTTGCTGCTTCACTTAAGCAAGCATCGTTTGTGAATACGAGCGTTAGTATAAGTTATTCCTTGTATGTTTATCTGAGTTATGTGTACCCAAATTAATAAATAGGTACCTACTATCGATAAAAAATAATTGTCGACTACGTTTACAACACTATGTCTCAGACTCAGATCAGATGATATTACAAAAATAAGTACCCTCAAACCAACATTACATTTTCCATAACAAAGCTAGAGCGTCTAGCCTTCCAAAGACAATGTAGACTCATTGCCATGAAGAGGGGTTTATTACAAAGGCAGTAATAAAACGATAAAACCATTGTTCCAATGATAAACCCTTGATACTTCTGTGGAACGAAACACATTTCAACTTTTTTGGCTTGGGTTTCTATAGGTTTTGTAAAACGGAAGGAATACTGAAGATAGTATGCTTCCTTAAATACTTGCAGCTAAGCTTCAAATCAAATCAAATCAAATTAGTTTATTGCAATTGCAATAGCAATAAACTAATTTGATTTGCAAAATAGCTAATAAGAGTAAATAGGCAACTCTAAAAAAAGATAACTGAACAATAAATACTTAATCTATACTAATATTATCAAGCTGAAGAGTTTGTTTGTTTGTTTACTTGAACGCGCTAATCTCCGGAACTACTGGTCCGATTTGAAAAATTCTTTTAGTGTCAGCCCATTTATAGAGGAAGGCTTATAAGCTATACAACGTCACGCTACAATCAATGCGAAAACGGGTTTTCACGCGTACGAAGTCGCGGGCAGAACTACTACTCGTATATCATCCAAGTGCAATAACAATAGACTACAAAGACCACAGATAAATTAATGTAGAGTTCTTGATTTGGATGTTCTTTTTGATTGATTGAACTCAAGTTTCTCTGAAAACTACCTTCCATAGTTTTCGCTATCTGTTGTTATTCTACCCACGAAATCTCAGTTCGTTAGGTTATTGATACGTGACTCAACGCTTGTTTAAATCGAAGGTACATTTCACATGTTAAGGGTTTCCAACGGCAATCAATATCCTCTTTAACCCAAAGTCACCACCATACTTGAAAGAGCGTTTTCAATTTATGCAGTCAGCCCTGGGTCACGAAATGCGGTCGTCAAAAAAACTCCATCTTAATTTTCCTTCTCACACCTCACATTCCTATACGCGATCTTTCACTGTTCAAGCTATCCGTCTATGGAACGCCTTGCCGATGTCTATTCGGCAATCTGAGTCACTTCCTACTTTTAAGAAAAGACTCAAATCTCACTTCCTCACGCTACTACCTTAATTTCCCAACATCTGTATTTCGTTTAGCTTCTTAAAATTCCCACCTATTTTCTGCTGGCTATCTAGTTCTATCTTTGGTTCGTATCAAAAATTGTATGTGTATGTAGGTATATATTATATTTTATGTATGTAGGTATATATTATATTTTATATAATTATGTATATATTAATATATTTTTGTGTATTATTTGTATGTATTATTTTGGTTTAAATTTTATGCCTTTTGTTTACATTTATTTCTTTAGTGTCGACACCGCCTTCCCCTTCATATTTTTTTTAAGTAACTGTCCTCACCATAGGTTGTCTGGAAGAGATCGCTTCATAGCGATAAGACCGCCTAATTGTAAATTGTGTGTTCCTTTTCTTTCTGTTCTTATCTTTGGTGTGCAATAAAGTGTATTTATTATTATTATAATATCCTGTTGTAACTAAGCTTTAATTTACTAAGGTACCTGCATGCCAAATTTCAAGCGTCTAACTTAAGCGGTTTATATTTTTCATACAAAAGGATTTTCCCGCTAATTCCCGTTTCCGTGGGAATTTCGGGAATTCCTTTCTTAGTGCACCTCTACGGTACCTAAGCTACGTCCCTGCCAAATTTCAAGTGCCTACGATTATCCGTTTAGGCTGTGCGTTGATCTGTCAGTCAGTCAGTCAGTCAGTTTCTCCTTTTAGGTATATTATTTAGATTTAGATACTAACCCCCTTACTAATAAAACTTACACGCTCGTTGATCAGTGTTTTAAAGTGACGTTTAGTGTGGAAATGTCATTTTAAAACAGTGATCAACAACCGTGTAACTTTTTATTAGTAAGGGGGAAATATTATAAATGCGAAAGTAACTCTGTCTGTCTGTCTTTCAGGCCTAAATCACTGAACCAATTTTGATGAAATTTGGCATAGAGATAGTTTGAGTCCCGGAAAAGGACATAGGATAGTTTTTATCCCGGTTTTTGAAACAGGGACGCGCGTGATAAAGTTTTTCTGTGACAGACAAAATTCTACGCGGGCGGAAAGCTGAAGCGGAAAGTGACCTACATAAATTAGTGTGTTTGATATTCGAATTACTTTGAACGGATCGGTTTCTCGAGGGAAACTGAAAACGGGATGTTTAACACGTTTAGGGCAGGCCCCCCACTAGGTGGACCGACGGCCTGGTGAAGGTAGTGGGATGCGATGGCCTGGATGCGAGCAGCGCATGACCGTTATGGAAATTCTTGGGGAAGGCCTGTGTCCAGCAGTGGACGTCATTTGGCTGAAACGAACGAACGATAAAAAGGGATCCAGCAAAATACAGTTCCTGCAATAAACGGGAACATGCCCTAGTTTAAATAAATAGAATATTTTTCATATTCTGAAAAAATAACCACTTTTATCGGTGACATAATGGGATCCTAGAATGTTAGAATATCTTCAATAAAACGTCCTAGAAAACTATCTGAATGATTTAGGTATCCAACAGATTACATTCTGGTAACGAATAGTGAGGTGCTTTATATCCGTATCCGCGAATATCCGTAAAAATGTGTCCGTTACTTTTTACGGATATGGAAGGAATATTTTAAGTTATACTAGTGCCAGTCAAATTAGAAATCAACCTCGGTTTTTTTATCCATAACGAGGAAGCTCCTGGCTTGCATCTCACCTAATGGAATGTGATAATCAGGTTGAAAGAAGCGAGCTTCACCTGGAATTCTCAACCACAGAGAAACTGGCTATCATACCTCTAACTGCCGGATCATAACATCGCAATCGGATCGCAAGTTCGATCCCATTCGATGATGGACTGTAATAATGGTACCACTCATAGCACGAGTATTGTATAGGGTAGGAACAAAGTTTACTGAATGTGAGTTTTTATTGGGGCTCAAGCTGCAGATCCTGGCTACACAGGAGTTGCAGTGGTGGGAACGAAAGGCGGGAATAGCCCCGTTAATTTCTCCAAATTTCAGAAGCCAGAGTGGCCGCCCAGGAAACGAAAGGTTGCAGCTTCAATTCCATCCAGAGGTAATTTTTTAAAGTTTAAAAAAATACATTTTTTATTTATTTATTTAAAAAAATGTAAAGAGAGTCTCGGTTCTATATTGGCTCACATAAAANTTTAACGTACATAAATTATTGACTTGGCCATCGCATGAAAACACGTGTAAATTAAATAATTTAGTAGAGTAGTGAATGTAATGAGGGTTTTCGCGTTTGAAAAATCCGCCAGATGGCAATACGTAGACGCGAGGTCCAAATGCTGCATGATTGGTTATTTTTGACATGACATTGACAGAAATGTTAATGTGATTTTTAAACGCGAAAACCCTCATTGTAAAACAATATTCACTGTGGAAATAAGTTAAAAATACGCGTGTGCTGCGCTAGATGGCGACACAGTATCTCGGCCTTTTGGTGTAGTGGTTCAGAACGGACTATTATGCCGAGAGGTCCCGGGTTCGATTCCCGGCCGGGCAGAAATTGAAATGATGAATTTTAATTTCTGTGACGGGTCTGGGTGTGACTATGTATAATATTTATGTATTTTAAAAAAAAAGTATATAAGTAGTATACCCGTTAAGCTAGCACCCATAACACAAGCATTAAGTTGCTTACTTTGGGACTAGCTGGCGCTGTGTGAAATTGTCCAAAGATTTATTTATTATTTATTTATTAGTATCTTCTTGTAACAGTCAGCCCTATCGCTTCGGCACAGTACCGATCACTGACATAAGTCAAACGAAACGGTGCTCGACTCTGAGACAAGCTAAATTACACCGTATTGTTGACTGCATTCTGTAGACATTTTTTTCGATTTGCAATTCCAGGAGCCCTGTTTCTGTTCGGCCAGACTAAAAGGACCGGCGAAGCCAACATGTATCCAAAGCCAGTGCAGGATCTCACAGGTAATTATTATTTTCGGATTTACACATTTGAAAATACCTAATTGTGCGCCTTATTTTTACTTCTGACAGTTTCGTAATGCGGACAACAGATGTAAATTGTCAAAAACACGTCACGATGCACTATGTGACGAAAGGCCGATCTAGATGGACAAAAAGGGTTGATTCAAATCTCCAATAATACTAGCAAAATCGATAGCCGACAGTCTGGAGGTTACGATTCTGGTGATAATTTTGTGCAAGTACCCTCCAATAAATTAATAAATATTTTTAAAGTGTCATTACGGGTGGAATTCATGAAGAAATCATTCACTTTTCTGCATTTGGTCTGTCGCCATTTCAAAGTGTTTATAAAATTAATTGTGCTAAAGTTAGTGATGGATCGTGAAGGTGATGGTAAGAACTACCATTTTTATTCATTCATATTGCAAATAACTTTACATTTGCCAAAAACATAGCTGTCGAATGTGATTGATATTACATTTTTAATGCGAACTTTGCGTTTGTTGGACCAGAAACTACATGTACTTTGTTGTACCATGGCTGCAACTTATATATGTTGTAGTCTCATTCATATTGTATTGCTCAAAGTAAATTAGAAAGTGCGGACTGGTGCGGAACCTTGTTAATTTTTTTAGTAAAGCTGATGCCAAAATTTTTTTTTCGTTCTTTTTTTTTTTTCAGAAAACGTAATATTTATATCCCGAAGGGAGTTCTACGAACAATGGATACAATATCCTAAAAATGAAAAAAATAAGCGGAATGAATATTTCGATAAAATACGAAACTTACGAGGTAACGGAGGAGTATAAGAAATATTAAAATGAACATTTCCCGAATTTGTTGTAACAATTGGCTGGAAAGTGGCTGGCATGGCATTCTATATTTTTATTAACTCATCCTTTATTTATTTTCAATTGCCATAAAGAATTCAGCTTTGTTTTTCTTCTTAGAAAATTGTCCATTTTAAGCTGACCTCTTAATAGGTATTAATTTTTTATAACCGTGTATCAACGTATACTGGTTTTTGTATTATAGCGTTAAATGTACCAAAACTAAATGCAATTATGACTTTTTTTGCTTTGCAACGGGGCGTCTAAGCTAGCTCAGTCTGACACCCCGCTGTTTAGTACTAAGTCCCAGTTCGCCTTCTGCGATGAGGGATGTGTACCTATCCAGGATGCCTACAGGGATATTCGACCAAGGAAACGCACAATCAATAACACAATGGCACTTATAATTCAGGTTCCACAATAGTTTACTTATTCTAGTTTCACTGACTCTAAATTACTATTATTTACACAATGAGTAAGTTATTCCACAATTGCAAATCTACTATGACAAGAGGGATAGCGACGCGCCCGGTTCGCGTCCCGAGACAAGTTTACGTATCCGCGAGAGGGGCGGCGCCCTGTGCGAGGTTTAGCAAGTGTTAGTTTGGATACTTATAAACTAGGGGGGTAGGATGGTCCGCTCACCAAATCGGTAACCGAGGTCAACGAAGTGGGGGTTCGAGTACCAAAGGTAAAAAGGCTTGGGACCTACGTGGCGAGTGGGGAGGAATCCAGGAAGGGTGGCAGCGGGATTGCTACCGCAGGTCGGGATTGAGTAAAGCATGCACTCGGTAAGGATTGGAATGTGTATACAGGCAACGATGGTTCGCTCGTGTCACGGAAACCGCGCGAGCCGAAAGTCCTATCGAGCCAGGTTAGTGGGAACAGTGAGGGTAGCTATTCGCTAGGGACTCTTGCGTAATTAGCCGTAGACGCGCGCGCGATCGTCTGGCTGTTACGATGGCTCCCGAGCGAATGCTAGGCGCCCGCGGTCGCCGCCGTCTCTTATATTAACTCGGTCCGTGCGGCGTGCGGCCGCGCAGCCGTAGGGTTGTCAAAATCTCCGCGCTCGGTGCTAGGGCTGTCGATGCGTCGCGGACCTACGTGGCGAGTGGGGAGGAATCCAGGAAGGGTGGCAGCGGGATTGCTACCGCAGGTCGGGATTGAGTAAAGCATGCACTCGGTAAGGATTGGAATGTGTATACAGGCAACGATGGTTCGCTCGTGTCACGGAAACCGCGCGAGCCGAAAGTCCTATCGAGCCAGGTTAGTGGGAACAGTGAGGGTAGCTATTCGCTAGGGACTCTTGCGCAATTAGCCGTGGGAAAGTTAGACGCGCGCGCGATCGTCTGGCTGTTGCGATGGCTCCCGAGCGAATGCTAGGCGCCCGCGGTCGCCGCCGTCTCATATATTGGCTCGGTCCGTGCGGCGTGCGGCCGCGCAGCCGTAGGGTTGTCAAAATCTCTGCGCTGGGTGCTAGGGCTGTCGATGCGTCGCGAGGCGCGTCACAGCTTTAAATAGTCAAATCATCAATAGATACCGCCTTTAAAGCTAATTAATATTGTCAAATAATATTGTCCATCTAGATCGGCCTTTCGTCACATAGTGCGATGGTCAAAAACCATAAATGACCGGTTATTAACTGTCAAATTCAGTCAATTTGACTCAAATATTACTGTACTACCACCGAATAATTTATTTAATTAGGCACCCAATTTAAATGCAATTTATTACGTTATTATGTATTAAATTAAGAGAAAATAAGACGTCATCAAATTGACGTGCGCGGCGATGCGACATTGCCATTTCACATATAATACACGAATTTACAAAATTACAAACAACTTTTTTATTTCAATTAAGATGTTGTAGACTTTTATCAATCACAAAATGTAAGAAAAAACATAAAAAAGTACTAAACTATTACTGAAATCAAATTGACCGTTTTTGACCAATTTGACCGTAACGTTTTTGACCAATTTGACCGTAAATGACGGTAAGTCAAATTCAGCCGCTGTTAGGGTCCTAACGAATATTAGTAATAAATGAAATAGCGGACTGTATAAAAATAGGTGCTGTATTCTCGCCAGCCTAATTTACAATAATTATCTAGGATACGCGGTAATCGTGCGACGACGGTGGTGTCCCAAAGGCGAGTGTGTGACCCGAGCGCAGCCGATGATGACGCTGTCGGCCCGAGGTGACGTTAGTCATTGTACGCCGCCCGCACGTCTCCTCCCGCGCGTTGTTGGGTTCCCAACAGCCGCTTTAGTCATTTTCAACACTAATGGGGACCGAACACTATTCGCAGGCTGGAATATCCGCAGCGTGGGAACCAGCAACACGTCGATTGTGATCGCGGCCGACGACTCGCTCATCGCCTGGGGCGTATCGCCCACCTACGGCGAACTGGTAAGTGCGAACAAACGTATAAAGCCCGGTCTATGAGCACGTAGAATTTTGTCCAATGACCCCAAGCTACCCATCTTTATCGCTCGCGCGTAATTATATTGCTGTCGCGACTGTGCGACGGGCGCCCGCAGTGAGTGTGCGAGCGCGATAGCAACATAATTACGCGCAAAATACAACAAAAAACGCTATCACGGTGAAATGCGAATAGGTGAAAAGCTACAAGGATTTTTGATTTCGAGGTATACGACTAACAAACGGTGTGTCCGGGCATGTAGTGATCAAACTTAAAGGGCCTGATCTGTGGACGACAAAAATACTTCAAATTGGGGCTTGACCCACCGCTCGCCAAATTACAAACAAGGATTTAAGTTTTTAATTTTTAGTATTCACCTCTTCCTTCAAAAACAAGCGACAGCAGGGGCACATTGAAAAAAATATCTATTAGTAGAAGTAGAAAATACACAAGCCCCATACATTTAAGGGGTTTTTCGGTTCCCCCAAAAATGTTTGGCCGAAACTTTTAACGCACAATTATTGTTTAGCCTACCAGTTGTTTTCGCACTGCACGCCCTTTTCAAGGTTTTTTTTTTCATCAAAAAATGCATTTAAAATTACGTACCATTTACATACATTATATTCTTCATCATGTTCTGATTAATTTCGTTGCGGGTCCAATGACAGTTTAACTTTCCCCGGGACAAAGTTGACCTTCATTGGTTGGGTTTTTATGGCGGTCAAGCTGTAGAACCTGGCTACACAGGAGTTGCAGCGGTGGGAACGAGAGGTGGGAATAGTCCCGTTACATTTGAGGATCATACCAATAGACATGTTGACACCACCAATCAATGAGGGTTTTCGCGAATGAAAGATCCGCTAGATGGCGTGACGTGGATGTGGGGTCTGACTGCTGCGTGATTGGTGGATTTTGACATATCTGTCAATGTCATGTCAAAAATAACCAATCATGCAGCATTTGGACCTCGCGTCTACGTATTGCCATCTGGTGGATTTTTCATTCGCGAAAACCCTCATTTTCGTACTATTTAAAACTGTTAAAACGAAACGCTCCCATAGTTTTTGTATGGCACTACAAGCAGGTGACGACACTATTTTGTCAACTCAAATACACTCGACAGCAAATAAATCGCACCACCCGCGACGCGAACTTTAAAGATTTTCTTTTGACACAATAATGGTGCCCCAACAATATTGGTGTTACCAATAAATATCCTTAAAGAAAAACACATTTAATTTCTTAATAAATGATTAACATATACCATAAAATTAAATGTGACTTGAAAAAAGACCTCACTTTGGGCTCACCTCTGGGATCAATTAGACCAAATTTTATGGTTATAAAACCAAATAATGATCACACGTGTCCTCTTTAACAGATGGATAGCGATTAATCCCAACTTAACAGTTTTATAGCCATAAAAGTTGGCTCAAGCGTAACTATCTATTTTTTGAAGAAGTGACTCTGGATCCTTCTAAAGAAACATTTTTGGGAAATGAAGTTTAGAACTAAGCTTTTGAATGGTACCAATATTGGTGTGAAGTGGGGATGCATACGTTTGAAAGTGCTTGTCGCGGGTGGTGCGATTTATTTGCTGTCGAGTGTACTTTTAAACTACTTTTTTCAATTACAATGCGACCAAAAATCGTAATTTACAGGTAATTTAAAATTAATTAAGTTTTTAAGACCAGAATCAAGTGTTTAGAATAGTTGTGATCATTGGAGAATGGTGTCAAATTGTCGATTTAAAATAGTTGTGATCATTGGAAAATGGTGTCAAATTGTCGATTTAGAATAGTTGTGATCATTGGAGAATGGTGTCAAATTGTCGATTTCGAATAGTTGTGATCATTGGAGAATGATGTCAAATTGTCGATTTCTTACCTGCAGGGTACCGGCGAGATCAACAAGTCGACCGCGCGTCCCAAGGAGGTGTCTCGGATGGACGGCCTAAACATCACCCAGGTGGCCATGGGCTATTCGCACACGCTGCTCCTCAGCGACGACACCGCCGATGAAGTCAAGGCCAAACTCGAGAACATGCCCACCTTCAACCCTTAACCAGCTCCCTAAACAGCCTTCATACGACCATGCTGCTCGAAGTTAGAACTGACGGTTAGGACCATTTAGTCACCACTTAGATCAATGTGAATTTTCGCGAATGAAAAATCCGCCAGATGGCAATACGTAGACGCGAGGTCCAAATGCTGCTTGGTTATTTTTGACGTGACATTGACAGCAGGGTTCGAAAATATCCGATATTTATTATAAATATCAAAATATCGGATATTTATGATATATATCCGATATATATCAACTTTGATATATATCAATTTTGTATGAAAGCCATAGTATTATTTTATTGTATTATTCATGAATACTATTGCATATGTGTTAATACACATGTTTTTAATGTTTTTAAACCTTAAAATCAGACAAATAAAGCAAAAACAAAACATTCTTTTAAATACGGCAAAATCAACTAAAAAAATAAAAATCTTATGTCAAAAAGTACAAATACAGTAACAAATTTTAAAAGTTGATATATATCCTCGAACCCTGATTGACAGATATGTCAAAATCCACCAATCACGCAGCAGTCAGACCCCACATCCACGTCCCGCCATCCAGCGGATCTTTCATTCGAGAAAATTACATTCTCATTCACATACTATGGATCGTTTCATCCACGAAGACCCGCCATTCTTCCGCTAATGTTTGAGTGTTATCGGTACACGCTAAATCATCCATGAGTGCACACGCACACTACAATAATGACGCTCGCGCTTCTCTCGACCGAAAATTGGTGGGGCGCATCTTTGTGAATGAAGCGATCTACAGGGTGTTAGGTAAATGGGTAGGTATATGAGCCGACAATAGCCCATGTTAACAATCAGAAAATTAATATCATCATTATAATTATTTTAATTTTCATACAAATTTGATTTTACAAATTTTATTTTATTATGAACATTTAAAAAATTTAAATGATGATATCAAAATTTCTGACTTCACCATACCATTTATATGCATATACAGCCTGTATACAGTCAGCGTCAAATTCGTGACACCCAAAGTAGCCAATTAGCTCGCAACACGTCTTTATTACAATTGGAATAAGGTTGTGTTGTAAACTTTTCGACCTTTTGCACTTTGGTGTTACGGACTTTTTGATGCTGACTGTACCTTTTGATATTGATTTTTATGAAAATAAATTAGCTGTCTGTTGGTTTGTATAAGCCCTTATATTAATAACGCCTAGATGGATAGTCCACATACAAGCGCTTCGTGTAAAGTGAGCCAAAAATCATATCATGCAAGTTTTTACAAGTGTTTGACTGTCAAGTGTCAGTCAGAACGTCTGTTTTTTTGTCAGTGGTCTAGTTTTAAGCGCCTCAGTTTTCTTGCGATTACTTAGATTCTAGGCGTTATTTCTATGTATCCGCTTAAAAACCAACGATGATCTAACTAAGTTTCGATTTCAAGCGGCGTCTGGCTGTAATCATTCCCATCCAAAACACTTTACCTCAAAACCATTTTGACTCGAAATCTGACCAATCATACAATATTTAATCGTTAATGTTAGTTTCTTTAATCTTACTTTATGTTAGGCCTAGAACTCTCAATGTAAGCAGTGGCGTATAGTGCGATAACGTGATACCTGGCGAGCGGAATATACAGGGTGGAAACGATAAGTGATCTCACTCGATTATTTCTAAACTATGCAAGATATCAATAAACTAGTTACTGATCCTGAAAGTGCTTCATGAGCTCTATCAAACGGTACTAATAATAGGTTACAGAATAAACTGGATCTATCCGAAAATTCAATGTTTCCAGCTTCCATACATTTGGTAAAGTCACATTATTTTAAAAACTACACATGATATCGTAAAACTGATTTTTGATTCTAAAAGTGCTTCACAAGCTCTATCCAATGGTATCAATAAATAGGTTACAGAATAAACTAGATCTATCCAAAAATTCAATGTTTCCTACTTCCATACATTTAGTACTACCAGAGTCATGACACTCATCTCTTGACAATATTATTATAGCAAGTAAAGCCTAAAACCAATGTTTTCCATGAATAATTTTAAATAAGAATACAATTTATATGAGTTTATTTTAAGTTTATTAGTAAATAAAAAAATACACTTCTAATATTGTGTGTCTGGCATACATTTAGTATGGAAGCTGGAAACATTGAATTTTCAGATAGATCCCGTTTATTCTGTAACCTATTATGGGTACCGTTTGAAAGGGCTCGTGAAGCACTTTTAGGATCAGTAATCAGTTTTTCAATATCTTGTATAGTTTAGAATTGATCGAGTGAGATCACTTAACGTTTCCACCCTGTATTTTACAATTTGTTGTTTGAATAGTAAGAACTGTAGCCTCGAAACTGAACCCTCGACCGCCACTGCTCCTGAGCTGTTCCTGGATACCACCAACTGTGTAAACCTATAATTTTTCTATAATTTACGCTTAATTATTTAAAGCGAACACGTACATATCTTGCGCGTGTCGAACATTACATAGCAAAGCAGCGACATGCATTTTTGTCTAGTATTTCTTTTCCGAAGCGTATTCTTTTTGACGGAATAGAAACACGCCAGACATGATGTGGCGAGTGACACCATACACTTTGAACAATATAAAAGCGTGTATGTGACCGCTTTTTGCTCTTTGTGATTTTGTTCAATGATAAAGTAATATTTTAGTAGACAGATCTATTAGCGTCCGCTATCATAATAGAATTACACGTTCCTCTAAATTGATTTTCAGTAACTTTAAATATGCACATCGAAATAACTTGATTTCTTCCCACTAATCATACTATTACTTGTAATTGAATTTTTAAAATCGTAAACTTATTGTTGTAATGTTAAAAGTAATTTGTATAATGGGAATTTAAAATATACAATTAGAATTTAATGAGAATTAACGATTAATCCATTAAAAATATCTTATCCCAATTTGGAAATATTTAGAGGACCTGTTGTTCTTCCACGACTCCAATTTCATTTTTAGGAATATTATTACTGTCGGCATAAATGTCGAACTCGAATATATTTATGTTATGACATTTCTAATGTACTTCGCCCTGATATGCATGCCTGTATACACCATTTGTCGTGCAAGGTGTAAGAAAAACACACAAGACTAAAAATATGCGGACAACATCAACTTGATATAAACAACAATCGCTGGATATTTTATTACTTAGCGATTGGTGAATGACACAATAGACGTGTTGACACCACCAATCAATCGACATACTTTTTAAACTTTTGACACCACAACTTTACGTCAAAGTTGTGGTGTCAAAAGATTGTGTTTTCACAATGGGTAAGGTTAAGTGTTCGGAACTGCGGACGAAAGATAAGAAGGAGCTCTTTAAACAATTAGAAGAGCTCAAAACTGAGTTAACTAATCTCAGAGTGGCTAAGGTGACTGGAGGAGTGGCATCGAAACTCCAAAATACGAGTAGTCTGAAAAGCAATTGCCCGTGTGTATATTGTTTATCATCAGAAAATGAAGGTTAACCTACGCAACCATTATAAAAACAAGAAGTACAAACCATTGGACTTAAGACCCAAGAAAACCCGCGCCATGCGCAAGGCTCTTACGAAGTACGAAGCCAAAATAAAAACAAGGAAAGAAATAAGAAAGAAGTCTATCTTCCTACCCAGAGTGTATGCTGTGAAAGCCTGAATAAAACTGATCAGTAAAACTGTCAAAACGAGACAGACTCCTATAGATTTTGTATGGTAATACCAGGCCTGTTCATCTCCGCGACTTTACATTGAAAACAAAACACGCACGATGGCCCACCTACAGGATACTATTCGACAAGGCCTCACATACGAGCGAACATTAACTCACGCACGCGTATTCTTGTGTATGATGGAAGAAAATAAAGAAAATGGTATACTGTGCAGTATTTAACTGCCTAAATAATAATAAAAACACAGAATGTACTTTTATAAGTTGCCTCAAGACACTGAGAGGTAAATAAGTAGTTAATATTATTCATGATAATTCATGCTAAATCATGTATTTCCTCCGCCATTTTCCGCAGTTTGGCACCACACGTCACATCATTTTACCGAAGTCAGCCATATAGCTTCGACGCAGTGCCGATCAATGACGTTTGTCAACAAAATGGTGCTTGACTCTTGAGTCTTGAGACAGGCTAAATTAAACCATATTGTTAATGACATTGAGCATACATTTTTTTAAATACCTTCGCGAAGTAAAACTTCTGTACGTAGGTAGTACTTATTATTATTCTGTGGTAATACAAGCAAGTGACGTCACTATTTTGCCAAATCAATTAAACTACTTTTTTCAATGAATGCAACCAAAAATCTTAATTTACAGGTAATTTAAAATTAATTAAGTTTTTAAGACCAGAATGACGTCTTTTTTATAAAATTTGTGATTTCGAATTATTGGGGAATGGTGTTAAATAGTCTATTTATATTTTGATTGTGTGCCGCTTTTCTTACACCCTGTATGACGCAGGGCGCGTGCGCGACCCCGCCCCCCACCCGTCGTGCGACGACGCGATAGGCCGGCCGCGCACTTGCGACGCGCTAGTATAATAGATAAAATACGTCGAAACTCTGGCAGTTCTGTATTTATCAGATTCAGATTCATTATACCGATAGCAAAGACATTTTTTTTCTTGTATTAATTTTATCAATTATATACAGGGTGTTAGGTAAATGGGTATATGAGCCGACACTAGCCCATGTTAACATGGTCATATAAATGGTACGGTGAAGTCAGAAATTTGATATCATCATTTATTTTTTTTTTAATTTTCATACAAAATAAATTTTATAAAATACTATTTGTATGAGAAATAAAATAATTAAAATGAAGATATCAATTTTCTGACTTCACCATACCATTTNATAAATGGTACGGTGAAGTCAGAAATTTGATATCATCATTTATTTTTTTTTTAATTTTCATACAAAATAAATTTTATAAAATACTATTTGTATGAGAAATAAAATAATTAAAATGAAGATATCAATTTTCTGACTTCACCATACCATTTATATGACCATGTTAACATGGGCTAGTGTCGGCTCATATACCCATTTACCTAACACCCTGTATAGACAGTCAAGCCAAGCTTGTGTACCTTTATTTAATAGATAAACCCTATCATTGCCCCATATTTAACTAGCCCGAGATGACAGTATCGTCC